CGCCGGGGCATCCGGGCCCGGCCGTCTGGGTTGCCCGGTGGGGTGGGGGAGCTGCAGGGCCGCGAATGCGCGGCCCTCGTTGTGGCCTACCGAGAGGTTTTCCTCGGAGGACGTCATATTTCTGAAGAGTTTCTGGCTTGCCCTTTTGTATAAAGTCACTTATTTTTCACTTCTTATTTAGCTCCTTACACCGGTTGAAATGATTTAAGTCAGTTTTAAAATAAGGGCTTTGTATATACATTTTCTCTCTCTACATATATATATGTATATTTCAAGTGTGGTATTTTTCATTTTTTTTTTCCTCCTTGGGAGCAGAACAGCATCCTGGGGGAGGATCAGCCTTTTCACTTACAGAGCAGAAGGATGGGTATTTCCACAGTGTCAGATGCAAGAAGTCACACTGGATTATGGAGCTCTTGCTCTCTGTGTGTTTTGTGTCAGGCGATAAAATGGATTAAGAGTGTCTTGGAAAAGGTAGTACATAGGGATAGTTTGCAGTCCCCAGAGCAATTTGTGTCTCTCAGAGATCAGTCGAGCCCCTGAGGTCATGGTAGAAATGAATCACTTCCCTGGTTGCAGATTAGAGGTGAACTAGGAGTGGAGAGCAAGGAGGAAAAGGTTGGAAAAGGAGGAAAGGCACAAGGAGGAAAAGCACATAACTGTTTTGTTTTTTATTTATTTTTAATTCAGTCTAATCCTTTCCAGAAGGATTGCTCATGTGACAGAGGAAGACATCAATTTGTGGTGTTTATGTGGCAGGTGAAACTATGTGATTGAGCTGAAAAGATTGAGCTGTTTTCTTGTAGAAGAGCAGTGATGATAGTTGCCTGGTAGGCTTGAATTAGACTGTGCCTCTGTTTTTGCTAATTTGATGCTGATCCACTTGAAATCTGACAGATTTTTATAGGATAATGGAAGCAAAGCTGTTATGGAGGTTTTTTTTTTTGAGTTATATTTCTTCTGCTCTAAGAACTCTAAAGACTTATTTAGAATAAAATGTAAAAATTAATATAAATGTGAAACAAAATGACAGCTAGTGATAATATCTTATAACTATCTTATAGTCACTATAAGATAACTATCACTTATAACACAGATGTTGATCAGTGTGCATCTCTTTTGACATGACAGATCCACAGTCCTGCAGAGACTAGCCGAATCAATTCAGTTTGCATATGGCTTTGTGTTTTGGCATTTCAAGCACATAACCTTATGATTTGTGTTATTAAACCTTCTGTTATTATTTAGTTGCATAAAAGCTGCCAAAGTGTGTAGGACCTCAAAAGTGATTGTAGCTTCTGTAAACTCTTTAAGACATATGTGCTATAAAATAATAAATTGGGAAATTCGTCATGAAATTTCTGATGAGAATCCATATTCAGGGCAATTACGTTAAGCTACTGCAAAAAAAGCACCAGTTTGAAAATAAGGATTTTGCTTCTAGTGTCCTGAATGATGGAGGTGACTTGAGAGATGTGCTCTCCTGATGCTACCAAAGAGCCCAATGTTTTCCATTTGACTTGATTTAAATCATTAGTAATGACAAGACACTTGATGGTTTACAATTAGAATAGAAATGAAGCTACTTCTAAAAGCAGTCTGTAGCAGCTGTGCAAATTGTTGTCCATAATTTAACACTATCTACTTTGTTTTGTAGGTGAGGCAAATCCAACATGTGCGCAATGCCAGTGGGACCTTGTTTGTGGTAAGTAATTTTCCATGTGCTCTCTGCCATACTGAAAAGAGGATATTTAATGAGATTTGAATATGCTTTTTTTTTTGATCCACCCGAAGAAGTTCAGTAGAATGGTTTATAATTGATATGTAATTAATAATTATAATGGTTTATAATTAATTATATCATGCAGCATTTGTGTGTGTTTGCCAGTAAGATTTTGTTTAAACTTCTTGTGTTATGAAACTGATTTGTTTCTTTTTTTTAATTTGTTAGTTTAGTTTGTAACTGAAGCTTGTTAAACTTTTAATTTTTGAAAGTCAAAAATGGATCTGTCTCTTCCTAGAAATAGTTCATAGAGAGTAAGTTGGGAAACGTGTTTAATGATACAAGCTGAATTGAATTGTAACTTCAAGGCGGCAACAACAACAAAAAAATAGTGGAAATCAGCATTTTACTATAGAACTGACCATTTTGTTGGATCTGTTCGCTGAGTGTTTTGGGACACTTTTTTTTTTTTTTCCCCTCCATTCTCTGCAGCAGTTTCTACAGCTTTTCTCATAATTGGATTACAGTACATGCTTCAAATGCTTTTCTAGAAACCAGAGCAGACATTGGTGATTTATGGAGTGAAAGTTAGTACTGAAGGAATAGAGGAAATATGACAAGTTAGGAAACCTCAAGAAAAGCCTGAGGTTGGTGAAAGCAGGGAAAAGGTGGTTTGGGCACCATAATGGATGTCTGGCATAGGAAGCTGTATAGGTTGTAAATTTTCGAGGCATTTTCTATGTTTATATTACTCTTTAAATGATTTACTGGAGGGAGAAGTATGAAAAGGAGAATAGGAGGTAAAAGAGCTGGGTGTTTTAGCTATATGTTATTGGCTGTATTTTCTTAATAGCATCTTTCATTCCTTTTTATTCTACAAAACTTCTCCTAGAAGAGAATAAGATTAAAACTTTTTTTTTAATGCAGACATATTTGTTCTTCTATAAAGTAAAAGTCTATGGGAAGAAGATTGTGGATGCCATTGGGTATGCATGTAATTGTTTGCCCTAACTGCCACTAAAAGGCTTTGAAGTGATTTTTTTTTTCAGGTGTTAATTAACATGACAAATATAAAGTTGAACTGAGTTGAACTCAGGTATTATTGCTAAGTTGAACTGAAAGTATTATTTAATCAATACTGGGTGCTTTTATGCAGTCGGAAGATGGTTTGTCATTGCTTTCCACATTTAGTCAGAACTGTAAAAAGTTTTATTTGTTTGCTAGAATATTCACTAGCATATGGCTGTTTGTCTTAATTTACAGATTGTCACAGGTTGCTAAACTTGCTTGCAGAGCAATAGTGGGCTTGCTCTGGAGTAACTCTCACTTCCTGCTGTGGTGGTTCTCTTTCTGTGTCAGTTCACACCAAGCGTCTTGGTTTTAGTTTGCAGAACACAGCACATTGTGAGTGCCTGTTGTGCTTTTTATGTAGGAAACCTGTGTATATGGAAGCATTCAGCATATTTGCTTTGTAGGAGCAGGGGATGTGTTCATGATGAGTGATCAGTTGTCTTAAAATTAGCTATTTAAGAGTGGTGGTATTTTGCAAGCTCGTGTATCCCTTTGCAAATTTTTGTCATTTTCTTATATATTAGCAGAGGCACACACACAAATGAGAATTTCTACCTACTGCAACTCCCCCTTTCAGAAGTGAAAAAGAATAAATGTTTCCTGCAAGGAAATGGACTGGTGTCATCACAGTATGGTAGTCTTTATGGAAGTACATGAAGCTTAAAAATTAGGTAGTTATGATTGCTGTTGGTAACCTGAAAAAGGAGTTGTTTAAGACTGTATTTCTGATGGCTAGAAGACTTCTAATTTCAAAATAATTCTATTCACAACAGCTGCCTTTTTTCTTTAGACATCCTTTTCTGTCTTTGACTTCTACGTATCCTTATCCTTTTTAATAACTAAAATGAAATTCTCCTACTTTGTTACTTCATGGTCTTAAATGTGGACTGAGTTTCATTGGCATATCAATTGTACATGTGTGGACTTTGAATATACAGCTGTTCTGTACAAAAAATTAGAGAATTGTTACAATTTTAATTGCTTGTGAAAATGGTTAGCACAATACTTGGATTTGATAACATTTCTAGTGCTATTGTTTTATATAGCTCTACTACTGCGGAAGTAGTGAACATAGAGTACTTCTTTCTCCATAGAGGAGAGAGTAGGGCACTTCTGTGTTGATTTGATGTGAACTTTTAGAAGTTTGATGTCCTGGATATCTTTTTACCTGCAGACCAAAAAGTTTTTATTTTTGTTTACTTTTTTTGTTGTTTTTAAGACTGATATTTATTACAGGGCATAGCTCAAGTTTCAGTTTTGTTTTCGGTAGTGAACCAACTTCTTTGCAGTTAGGTGAAAGCTACCTTTTTCAGGTTATTCTACTGCAATTCTTCATTTCTCTCCTTTGTGTCCAGAGGGACAGATGAATTTTATTATGAATCACAGAAAAAGAATAATAAAGCAGCATAGTTTTTTGTAGCAAACAGAATCCAATATAAACATCCAGCAGCCTTAGTACCTTATGTGGGATAATATCACCAAACATGAGGACACAGTTACGTGGGTGGGCTCTCTGTGTGGTTCCCATGCTGTTAAGTGGGGTAGGCTGAATTCTGCGGTACAAATGGGGTATGGTCAAGCTGTCCTTGAGCTTAAAATATATTATGTGAGACTTTAGGAAACTGGGAGCACAGAAGAAAGGAATTTAAAAAGTGTGTCTGGATAGAAACACTCTTGAACAGATTGTGGTAACTGGTCCAGGCATTATTGTTTTTGAGTATGGGAGTATGCCTTAATATATTCTTTTCCATGTAATACTTTTTGGAAGTCCTTTGGCTTTAATCAGTTAGTTGTTCTCCAGAATTTGTAGCCTGTAAGGCAAAATGCAGCCTTATCATACAGGAACAAGTCGGCTCATGTAAATCTCAGATAAATGGTACATTCCAGACGAGTGGAAGATTATGGAGCAGGTGATTGGCATATCCAAGACAGCTCAGGAGGCCCTGTACTCTGTACACTCTTGATAAAGACTATCAAATTGCCTTGAGCCCACAGTACAGAATTAGATGAAGCTCACTTAGTAAGATGGAGAACAGCAGATGTGACAGGTTTTCAACTAGTGATCACTTACGGTGTAGCCTTTTATAACATATCTTGGAGCCTTGCTGTACAAAAATGACTGTGACAGACTGTAGCTGCAGATGATAAAAAAAAACTCTTGTTATCCTGAAATTTTCTGTGTGTGAGAGTATCAGCTTAGAGATGATGCACTGGAAATAGCAGCTGTTCTGAACAAAGAGGGAGTTTTCAATGAATCAAACATACTTAGTAAGGACAAGCATAATTATTAGATATGTATTTAAGGAAAACTAAACAGACATGCAGATTTCAGGAGGAAAAGACAAGTTATGGAAATATTGATCGTGGATATGATCTGTGCAGCTAAGAAATAGAGCAAATTTGTAAGGGAAAATAATTGTTACACAGTGCTTCCAGACACTTTTCCTCTCTGTTTAGCCTTCCGGGTCTTTAATTGAAATTGGTAGAAATCACATCACATATAAGCAGCCAGATTCTTTATTTGGAAGGGTCAGATTAATAGCTATTGTATTCTGAAAGGTGTTCTTGTTTGTTTTTGCTTTTTTGTCCTAAAAATATTTTGCTTTGAAAATGTGAATTCAATATTCTTCTCCCATTCCAGTTAGAAATGTTTTTAAAATAAAAATGTTGAAAGCTCTTGCAAATCCTGATCAGGCGTGTATGGTAAGCTCAATTAATGCTGTGTTTGAAAAACAGATGCAGATGTTTAGTTATCTAGCAAGCTTCTTGATGACTTTTAAATGTTTTTTGAAGTTAAGATCTGTTGAGGGGGGAGCTATTGTTTAGTGCCTTGTTTATCAAGGTGTTACTGAGAGTTAATCCGCCTGTTACAAGTTTGTACATGATTGCCAAACTGTATTAACAAATATCTGTGTAAGATATATCCTGCTTCTCAGTAAATAATTTGAATAGGAAACCACAGGAATGTCATCATCTTTAAAATTAGTGAAATAATAGTCATTATTTTCAGTAGTTTTCAAGGAGGTATTTATGATGAAAAACGATTGCATTTTAAATTGGTATTATATATATTGAGAATGTATCTTTTATTCTAGAAATTCAATTATGTAGTAGGAAATATATTTTACAACAGTAAATCTGTCCTGAATAAATTCTTGAATATCCTATTTTTATACATCTGTGTTCTCTTTTTTTAAGCACAGAGACAGTCCTGAAAATAATCCAGATACTCCCTTTGAGTTTACACCTGAAAACCAGAAGGTATGCCGACATATTTGCATATTTTTACATGCTTTTCTTTTTTTTTTTTTGTCTTTAGATCAGTATTGAAACCTTTTTTCTTTTTTCCTCCTCTTCCCCTTTAAAAAGCGAATAGAAGCAATCATAAACAACTACCCAGAAGGGCACAAATCTGCAGCTGTAATGTCAATACTAGATCTGGCCCAAAGACAGCATGGATGGTTGCCCATATCAGCTATGAACAAGGTACTCTGTTCTCTTCTCAAGTATAATTTTACCATTTTCTCGAAATCAAACTCTTAATATTAGGATATTAGCCTGTTTTATGATATTAGGATATTAGCCTGTTTTATGAAAGCATGCTAATACAGGAATTTTCATTTGATATCGAATTTGCAGAATCCCCTATAAAATTACCTTACAAAATAGCGTGGGGATGGAGGAACTGAGGCAGAAACTGTTAGCTTAGTCACTTTGTGTAATGGTAGCCCACTGCTAGAAACTGCTGGCACAACAAAACCAGAGTTTCCCCATCCTTATTTAGATAAACTCTTTTCCTATCAGAATCAGTCTGGCAATAGAAATACAATTTTGAAAAATTTTGCTCACTGATGAGTTTGGGGAAGATTTAAAAAACAATGATGACGATAGGGTGTTTTCTCCTTTCTTGAAGATTAGTGACACTACGTGTTGCCACTACTGTCAGGAACGTACTTAAGCTCCATGCTTGCAAGGGCTGTGACTTTTCGCAAATTATGCTTTAGTACAGTGCAAGTAACAAAGGACTCTTACCACCCCATAGCCAGTGCCTGTGAGACTATTTTCTTATTAGATTATATATTAAAATTGTGGCAGAATAAGAAAACGCAGTGTTCTGATAATGGGTTATATGATAATTGAAAACTTGGAAATATGAAATTTAATCCCTTCACGCAAATAAATCCATTATATTGTGTTGCTTGTGTATTACCAGCTTTTAAGATTAAACTTAAAGCATTTTCACTTTATATGCTAACTGTGGCTTGTGCACATTATAGTGATGATTACTAAAAATAATAATAAGTAATAATATAAGTAAAACTAAAGTATAAAATAAGTAATAATATAGTGATAATTAGAAAACAGATTTTATGCTATTGTTTCTAAAATGTAGCATAAATTCTCAAATCGCTATTGATAGTGAATGGGAAGAGTCTGCTCTTACATTGGCTTTGCTTAAAGTTTGGGATTGGTTTTATGTTTTTTAAGCAAGTTTTTAAGCAAATATGTGCAGATACAAATACTTTGCGTGGTTTGCTCTTTGCCTGCTATAGGTACAGGAACATAAAGCAATTAGGTTTTTGAAAACAGATTTAATTCTCAACCTGAGCAGTTTGCCAGGGTTCCCGTTTAATGAGGGGGGATTATACCAAACCTGGCTCCGTGGAACTTGGTTCTGTCCGTATTTGTTACCTTTGACACCAGTTCACAAATGTAGGGGTGCTGTTTGTAGGGCTGGACATGGTCACAGAACCCAGGACAGAGCTGCAGTACCTGACCAAGTGTGGTGAGCATAGTGCCAGCGTCAGGGTTCTCCTGTTAGCAGAAGGCTTCAGCCAACTCATACAAGCAGCTGCACTGCAGAACACGAGTGCAGTGTGAGCTGGAGCTCAAAGGGAAGGCTGGGACCAGCTGAACTCTGCTGTCCTGCTCGGGTCTATGGTGCTAGGTGCTGGAGCAGGGCTGGTTGGACAACCACGTGTGCAAATCTTTGCCTTGGTAGAGTTTGTGTCGAGCAGGATTGGTTCCATCCAGAGGCTTGGGTGTCTCTTCTTGGTGCTTCAGTAGTGTTGTGCTTAGACAGCCACCACCTTCCTGCTCTTTATCTGATGATACTGTATTCCTGCAGCTAGAGGACAGGAGACTTAAACTGTTTATGAAATTTCTTTCATGGTGCCCTATGAGAATTCAACATAGTGTCTGTCTTCCCCCTGTTGTAGGTTGCTGAAGTTTTAGAAATGCCTCCCATGAGAGTGTATGAAGTAGCAACCTTTTATACGATGTATAATCGCAAACCTGTTGGGAAATACCATATTCAGGTCTGCACTACCACGCCTTGCATGCTGAGAGATTCTGATAGTATTTTAGAAGCCATTAAGAAGAAACTTGGTATGATACAAGTTTGTAATTTGCTTTTTCTAAATGTGTTGATTTTTTCATGCTTTAATAATACATTATTTCTGAATTGAAGTAAACTTTTTCGTATGGTGGGGGTAGTGGAAAAGTAAATTTCAGACTGAAATCATTGTAGGGTAAGCACTCAACACTTCAAACTTTGAAAATGGAGAATACCAAAGTGGAAAAAAAAACAGTATACTAGAAAAGAAAAGGTCATTGCTTTGGAGTGCCCTTAATGGTTTTACTGGCAATTTGCCAGGAATTGAATCATTCTTACCAATGTTTGCAAATGGACTGAGCATGAAACTGCATTCCATATGTAGAAGAAGATTGTGAATGCTACATGACTTTTTATATGTAAAATTAAGAATTTTAAGGTACTATATGAAGATCATTGATTTTTATTATTTAACTTGAGGTAATATGAACAGAACTTATAAATTCCTCATGGGGAAAGTTAGTTGAGACTCCATCATATGAGGTGTAGAGATAAATAGTGGGCTTTTTTGGTTTTAGGGTGTTCGTGGGGAAGAGGGTGAGAGGGAGTTACGTGGAGAAGAGGCGAAGATCAGCAACTAACAACTTTTACTCTTTTATGAAATAAGCTACACTGACATTTTGTAAGAACCACCATCATAAGGTCACAAGCAATTCTTCTGCAACTCTTATCTTTAATGTATTCAATTGTTTGAAAAAAGAAACACTTATTTTGGATTTTTTTTTCCTCATAGTTTACACCCATTCAAAAACAGCTTAATTTTTATTAAAACTATTAGTTTGAGAAATCAAAGGAAAAGCAACTGTTTTCTGTAAGTAAGGATATTTATGTAGTTCTTACTGAGGCGTAGACCTTATTTAGGTTTTTGAGTTCTCTTTCCTCATCTAGTTGCTACGGAGGAAAATTGCTTTTCAGCTTATTTGTTTTCATGAATTGGCTGACACATTTCATGCAAAATGGCTTTTGTAATGTGCTACCTCTGTAACACGACAAATAACTACAATTTCAGTGCAATAACAATGATGAGAAACCACCTTATTCTCACTCTCTAAGTTTGTCTGATCCTATATTAGTACTTTTTTTGAGCAGATGTGACTCTTTGTAAATATTTCATAATTTTTGTGTTTAAATAGTACCTTGCGAACAGTATTGTGCTTGTGCTAATAAAATAATCAAAAGGCAAGAAGCTGCTATATTATGGTCTTACTAAAATAGCAGTATTATCAACTGAGTTTCAATTCTTAATTATTAGGTACAGGTTAATATAAATTAGCTACAGGTTAGTATAAACTCAGTAGCTAAGTGTCTTCTCTTAATGTTCACTGAAGTAATCAGAAAGGTGTCTATTTTAAATAGATCTTCTGCTAGAAGCTCTACGAGTTTGTGAGCTGGTGGCACTGTCACAGAGGTGCTTGTGGCCTCATTAGAACTGCCTATTCCCACTCCTTTATTTGAGCTTAGGCTGGGAATGCCAGTAGGGCGTGGGTGGTGACAATTTAAGACTGAGAGACTGTTTTAAGATGCATGGCCAAAAAAAACATATTGTAGTAGTGAGATTAGTGCTCTGAATTACACCAGCAAATACTTCTGAAACTAGATGTTTGTAGAGTATGCAATGCACAAAACCTGGGGAAACTCATAAGATGAAGTGTTTGAGAGATATGTGCCAAGAAACAGATTTAAAAGTACACATGCATACATTGTTTTTTTACTTTGAATGCATTTTGATAATTATTACTAATTAATTTTGAGATTGCTGTATCATATTTGAATATCTGCTGTATATATCCATATGTCCTTTTGAGTATAATATAATTGCATTTTTGATGAATAGGACTTCCTTGGCTATTGTGATCTTAATATACTTGTGCAAGTTACACTGGCTCCATCTATAATTAATAAAGGAAGGTATGTTCAGAGAGCAAAAAGGCTATGGCTTCAGCCAGGTCACGTTCTCGCATGTTATTTGGCTACCCTGCCCTCTGGACATGTCCATATTTTTATTGGTTACATCACTGAGGGGAAAAAAAGTCGAGGAAGCAAAGCACATGCACAGAGCTGTTCAGGAAAGAAACCTTACTGTATGATCTGGGAAGTTGTTTCTAAATTTTTAGCCAACAATTTCAATGCTAAGATCTTGGGCAATTTGGGAATTCAGTACTCAACACTAAATACTATGCATTTCACATCAGTATATAAAAGCTGTATTTTTCCTTTCTCTCTCCCACTGTATTTATTGGTAAAAATGTTCCTAAACAGAGCTGTTCTGTTTCTCAGGTGTCATTTCATGATTACTTTTTAATGAATCATATTTGTACAACTGTAAGTCTCCAAAATGTATCTCAAGAATTCATTTTATTAGTTTTTTTGTTTAATAGAAGTGTTTTGGACTCATTACTGTGCAAATGTCTTTAAGGCTTAAATACAGGAAATGAAAGAACCATTGAGAACTTAAAATCCTGCTTTGTTAATCATATTTAATAGCCACTGATGAACGTAATATTCTTTATTGTTTTAGGTATAAAAGTTGGGGAAACAACACCTGATAAGCTCTTCACACTGATAGAAGTAGAATGTTTAGGTGCTTGTGTAAATGCCCCAATGGTGCAAATAAATGACAATTATTATGTAAGTACTTCGTTATGTTTTAAAAGAGTAAACTTTCTTACTGCATAACCTATGTTTTATTAATTTTATGTATGAAGTCTTTCCATTCTTGTAGATTCTGAAGCTTTGGTCATTTCCTTCAAGGGACAACTTAAAACCTAGAGCAGCATCTTGTAATTTCTTGGCCTCTTAAAATATTTCATCTGCATTATAATGTGCTGATGTCTTCTAGTTTCTATAAAAACAGACATAGTAATTTTTTTCATTTTTTGTAATGAGATAATAAATAGAGACCCTTTTGAAGGTACTTTTCTGGCATGTTCATATAGTAGAATGAGTAATCTTGCAGGTGGCTTTCAGCTGAGAAAGAATGTTACTCTTCAGGAAGATTATTTAAAAAAAAAAAAAGGAAAAAAACTTTTCCATATCACAAGCCTTATTCCAATTACTGTACTTCTGACTTTTCCGCATATCCCATTTAATCAAGTTAGGAAGCTGCATCATCTGCTAAAAAGTCAGGTTCAGCTTGGAACCTAATTATTACCTGGTTTTGCCTTTCCACTAACACCAACCCAATTCCCTTAACATTAAATATATTCAGCAAAATTCATCAGCAGTTCTGCTGTGGGTTTTTTTTTTTTCTTCCCCTTTTTCCTCTTGCCACATGTGAAATAACACAGACAGCATTTTTAAGCTTTAAGCCCAAACAGCCTGTTTTTGTCATTAGGTAATATATGGTGGAAAAGAAGAAAAAATCTGGGGCATAAGCTTATATGGACGTTGTGGAAAAAGTCCAAAAAGTATTAGACATGTGGTGGTATAGAACAAAATGTAACTTTCCGTTATGTTTTCTCTTTCCCAGAGAAAGAACTTAGAACTGGTTACATTTGTAAGAATGGTGAAATTAACAGAAGTGCAGTATACTGCAAGTGGGTTGTTTAGAGCTAAGATTGCAGAACAGTAACAGTAAAAAGTGATAATTAAAGCTCTAAGACGTGTTGCTTGAAAGCATCCAATTCATACTGAAAGTCCCTTGGGGGGTTTTTGCTCCATGTTTTGTCAAAAATTGCCTGGGACACTTTCTGGTTAGAATAGCTCTGTACTTTTTAGTGTAATACTGGAGTATTAGACAATGAGGGTTTGTTTGTTTGTTTTTGTATTTTGAAATACCAAGCTCATCATCAGTACATGCTTTATTGTGAGTTTAACATGTTATTACCATATAGTGTTCCTAAACATGTGTGACATTTTTGTTTATTTTTAGTTTGCATAATAACCTTTTAGGTAAATATTGTCTTTGATCCTTCCTTCAGCTGTTTTGAATCTTTCTTTTCTAGAAATTGTTCCTGTGCAACAATGAAAAATGCTCTAGTTGCATCTGAAGCAGACTTATTTTTCTTACTTGTGCCTTTTTTCTAAAATAATAATTACTAAAGGAACCAAATACTGGATTTTTTTTTACCCTCCATTTTTCATATAAACACAACATACTGGTGTTTTTCAGAATTGCATTCTGGTTAGATTCTTGAATTTCTCTACCATAGCCAGGATAATCAAAAACAGAGAATGAGAATATTATATCAAAAGGAAATAAATTCTGCTTTGAAACTAGAATCTTAGTCAATGCAATTATGTCCCTTTCAACCTGTACTTTTTTTTTCAGTACAAAAATGACTTTTGTAGTAGAGCTATAATAGTATATTAGGAAAACCCATAACCATGAATTGATAAGAACTCACTATTTTAGTTTATTGCAAATAATAACTTTGTGAAATAGGGTGTATTTTTAAGTTGGGGAATGGTAGTGAGTCCCTGCTAGTATAATGCTATATTAAGTATCTGGAATTGTAGAAATTTCCTGAGGAGAAACAGTGTAGCCTGTAGAAGACATAGGAAGCTCTAGAATGGTATTGAGAAACAAAAGCTTTGACATGTTAAGGAACAGAGAACCAGACTGTGCTGAAAAGGAATTCTGCCTTTTTTTTTTTTAATTTTGTGTTATGATGGATTTTATTTAAACAAATTTTCAAAATATTTTTTTAATTTTTATTTGATAAAGGCACTCTAAAACAATTTTATTTTGAAATAATGGTCTGGCTTGACACCATGTGACTAACTAGGATCGAATTTGACGAATTCATACAGATATATGACAAGAGTTTAGCTTGTTAAGTATCTTGTACTTACCATGTATTTATGTATTTTATATATAAAAAAGTAAGTATAGGTATGCTTTATTATACATTAAAAATAAAATATTTTTCTATCACAACATGTAATAATTTTTATTCTTTTAAAAGAATATTCTACTCTCTTGTTCCCACAATTTTTGGCACTGCTGAAGTCATACTGTGTGTGCAACAGCAGGCATATATTGAGTAGGCAGGAATCCAATTTGCTAATACAAGGAGAAGATGAAAAGAAGCCCATGTAAGAGATGATGAGCTTGAATATTGTTAATTTTAACACTATTTCTGCAAATGTGTGCAAAATAGATTTTTTTTCTATATTAGTTGCTGATTTTCTTCCCCCTTTTTTTTTTAAATAGGAAGATTTGACACCTAAAGATATTGAAGAGATAATTGATGAACTAAAGGCTGGCAGAGTTCCCAAACCTGGTCCAAGGTAAGCTATTTTTTGTATAATAATAGCTAACTTTTCCTTTGGGGAAAAACTAAATTCCTGTTACAGGAATTTGAGTTAACTGCTTAGAGCTAAAAAGCATTCATTACTTACTCAACAGCTTAATGTGTGTTCAGTGCCTTTCTGTATCTTCCAAGCCAAGCAAAAACTAGAAAGAAATTAATTCTGTGCCCCTTGGGACTGACTGCAGGGGTAAATGAGGAATTAACAGATGAATGACATCAAAAGTTTTTGCCTAGACCAATGAACTCCTGTGTAGGATTTTTTAATTATTATTTCTGGCAAAATCAGAAAGATCTAGAGTTCATGGAAGGTTTATCTCTGAATTTTCTGCATATATTTACCTTTGTTCTTTGTTAGCCCAAATATATAGATGTATATGTGAATTTCAGAATTAATTACTACCATTTAACTTGGACATCCAGTCTGTTCCCGTTGTTTCTATGATGATTTTTTTTGAATAGGAAGATAATCTTAAATTATGGTTTCCATGAAAATAGTGATGTATCTTAAAGATGATTAATAAAAAGTGGGAATTGGAATTTTGAATTGAGCTGTGATCAAAGTTACTTTTGACCTACTTATGAAAGTAATTTGTAGCCTTATTATGCATCCGAGTTGTCAAATTGTGTATTTGGCACTGTACTTGAATTTGAAAGCCTCCTGACTGACAGTAGTATCCTACATTTCTGAAGGATGAATAGGAAGAAAAATAGAAAACAGTGGCCTTGGCTTTAAGTTAGATTTCATCGAATCACAGAATGCTTAAGGTTGGAAGGGACCTCTAGAGGTCATCTAGTCCAGTTCCCCCTGCACACACAGGGTCACCTAGAGCACATGGCACAGGACTGCATCCAAGCGGGTTTTAAAGATCTCCAGAGGAGACTCCACAACCTCTCTGGGCAGCCTGTTCCAGTGCTCTGTCACCCTCACTGTTAAGAAATTTTTCCTTAAGTTCCTGTGGAACTTTCGATGCTTTAGTTTCCGGCCGTTTCCTCTAGTTCTGTTGGTGGCCACCACTGAAAAGAGGCAGCACCATCCTCCTCACTGCCTCCCTTGAGGTACTTTAGACACTGATTAGATCCTCTCTCAGCCTTCTCTTCTCCAGGCTGAACAGGCCCAGCTCCCTCAGCCTCTCCTCATAGGGCAGATGTTCCAGGCCCCCAGAGCTGCTCTCCAGAAGGTTGGTCCCCAGCCTGTACTGGTGTCTGGGGTTATTCCTCCCCAGGTGCAGGACCTTGCACTTGGCCTTGTTGAATTGCATGAGGTTTTTCACCGCCCAGTTGTCCAGTGTGTCCAGGTCCCTCTGGATGGCAGCGCAGCCCTCTGGGGTATCAGCTACTCCTCCCAGTTTCGTGTCATCAGCAAACTTGCTGAGGGAGCACTCTGTGCCTTCATCCAGGTCATTGATGAATAAATTGAACAGGACTGGACCAAGGACTGACCCCTGGGGGACCCCGCTAGCTACAGGCCTCCAACTAGACTCTGCACCGCTGATCACCACTCTCTGGGCCCTGCCATCCAGCCAGTTCCTAATCCACCTCAGTGTCCACTCATCTATCCCACACTTCCGGAGCTTGCCCAGGAGGATGTTGTGAGGGACGGTGTCAAAAGCCTTGGTGAAGTCGAGATAGACGACATCCACCGCTCTCCCCTCATCTATCCAGCCGGTCGTTTCATCATAGAAGGCTATCAGGTTAGTCAGGCAAGATTTTCCCTTGGTGAATCCATGCTGACTACTCTTGAGCACCTTCTTGTCCTCCATGTGCTTGGAGACAACGGCCAGTATGAGCCGTTCCATCCCTTTTCCGGGGACGGAGGTGAGGCTGACTGGCCTGTAGTTGCCTGGGTCCTCCTTCTTGCCTTTTTTGAAGACTGGCGTGACATTGGCCTTCTTCCAGTCTTCCGGCACCTCCCCCGTTCTCCAGGATCTTTCAAAGATGATGGAGAGCAGCTTAGCTATGGCATCTGCCAGCTCCCGTAGCACTCTGGGGTGCATCCCATCAGGGCCCATGGATTTGTGGGTATCGAGTTTCTGTAGGTGCTCTCTGACCCAATCTTCCTCTACCCAGGGCAGGTCTTCCTCTCTCCAGGCTTCTTCTCTTGCCCCTAGGGCCTGGGACTCTAAAGGGCTGCCCTTGGTAAACATCGAAGCAAAGGCGGCACTAAGCAACTCTCCTTTTTCTGTGTTATTCATAACCCATTCACCAGCAGACCCACATTTTCCCTGATCTTCCTTTTGGTGTAACTTTTTTTTTTTTTAACCCAGTGATAAAAGAATATTTGAGATTAATACCTACAATTAATAATACTGCTGTCATTTTTCAGGAGTGGACGTTTTTCTTGTGAGCCAGCTGGTGGCCTGACTTCGCTGACTGAACCACCCAAAGGACCAGGGTTTGGAGTTAGAGCTGACCTCTAAGGATTTTTTTAATATGTGATAAACTCTTAAAATAATAAAGTAATTTAAATCTCAGTAAAATTATTTGTTTACTGCTTAAATAAAAAGGCAAGTAACAATCATAATTAGTTCCAGATTATTATATAAAAAGTGGTTCTATAGACTGTAACTCAATCGGCATTATTTATAAACATCAATATGGCAACAGGTGTCAACTCCAGTGACACTTCTTTCAACCTTTATTAAGCAGAGGTGCAGCAAATTCACAAGCAAACTGACAATGGAGCCTCTAACAATTTTATGTTGCTTTTTAATTTCAATAAAAACTATGTAATGGGAAACATGCTCCCAGATGTGTTCTGTAAAAATCCATTAGGTTCAGTAAGAGATGATTCTTACTGAAGATGATTGTCCCTAATACCATTCAATGGTCAGGAAATGAACAACAATAAGTCACTTCTGTACAAATTTATTCAACACAGGCAAAGTGAATACTTGGAGTAAGATGCAATTCAACAGAAGTTTTAACACATCATAATTACAGTATATGAAGGAAAGTTGTTTCTTCAGTCCATGGGTCCTTTTTTGACCTTATTGTTATGAACTACTTCTAAGAACTAATCTAGAAGCAGGAAATGAAGGATAACCAAGATAACAAAAAGACGACTTCATATTAATACTGAATACATATGCGCCTATAATACTGAATACATCTATGCCTGTAAAATCAGGAACATTAATCAAATTTTTCATGTGCAGTTCAACATAAAATGTTCAGAATGGTGGACATTTTAATCAACTACAACCATATAAAAAGCCTGTGACTTCTCACTAGGCTACCTAGAGCATGAGCGAGCAGAAGGGATAAGAAGATAAAACAGACTCCAGCCAGCATATCATTGTTTCCTGATGTTTCTATCTGTCCAAAATGTTAACTGGTTCCATGTTTGAGCTGCCCCTACCTGCCAAAGGCTTGTCTTCTATACATATATTTAACAGTATATTGATTTTGCAAGTTCTTAGAATAAAGTTCCTCTTTTCAACCTTTTCATACTGCAGTTTGCAATTTTTCACTCAATTACTAGTTTGAGCTAAGTGATGATGCAGGCCACCTAGTTGCTGTGCACAGCTGATAATGCAAGATAATCTCAGTGAAGAGGGCAAGTCAGAGGAAGCATAATGGAAATCCACTCATGCTAGAGCATGTCATTGCTTATGAGTCTAAACAGTAGTTCTTAAGAAGCTTACAGAACTGTATTTTTACTTACTCTTAAGCCTTGCTAATATCTAGCATCTGCTGTATAAGAGCTCATCTGTACGATTCTTTCCCCCTTATCTCAGCTGCTTTTTGGACATACATCACTGTATCCTGAAATACTGGAACTCTCTGCTACTATGGGTGATGTGCAAGGATCAGAGTGCAGCATTACACCATTGCACAACACCTGTAGCCTCTGGTGAATAATTTTTAGAGGGTGATCACCACCTATTATACAGTACTCTGAGAAAATTGCTGGGGAAATGCTCATTATCCCCTTACAGAGTCAGTTACAGTCTCACCTGCTAGCCACCCTAAGTGATGACCACTGAAATCATCTAGACATTAAAGAGTAGGAAATGTATGCAACACCCTTTGACATATGGTCACAGACATCTGCGTACCTGCTTCTAGTGAGCTGGCAGTGTACTGAATCAAGTGAAAGTGAGGGCAGGCGCTTTGCCTAACACAACTGCTCCATGCCATGATTTGTACAGTAGAGTTTTGAAAGCATGTTTAAGTCTGCCTAAACAATGGCAATTGTTAAATGTGTGATGCCAGCCACGTTTATCCCTGCTGGACCACAATGCAGGGGACATAAAAGTACCAAGGAAGTCCATACAATAGCTCACCTTTAAGTATTATCTTAAGTGTCAAGAATTGGTAAGAATGAGATTAGAATCTACTTATTTTCTTATTATTCATGACCATATATCTATGAGTACTGAAGATGGTGAGCATGATAAACAGTCTGTTTATAGAGAAGGAAAACACCACAGTACATTCACCTTTTAAAGAGAAATAGATAGTGCCTCCTCTTCCCAACCTGTGATTTTGAAACTTCAGAATTACTTTATCTTTCAATTTTGAAATTTTCCACTTCTGACTTGCACAATTAAGGAACTCCTGTTTCCACCCACTAGCAGTTGAAAGTAATCTGGAAACAGCAATCGAAACTACAAGAAACGGAGAAGCTTTATTCAGCTGCCTTCTTCCCAAAATAACCAACAACCACAGCCCAACTACCTTTTCGCTGCTTATGGAAGCAACCTGGAGAGTATTATCTGCGAGCCCGCCCCGAAGCTCGGAATTCCTCAGCACACAGCGTTCCCGCCCGCTCCCCGCCTCCCCGGGACGCGACGGAGCCGCCGCGCGTGCGCGCTGTGCCGCCCGTTA